CAGGATCAGGCCGGAGGTATAGCTCAGCGGCTTAAGCACTTGCCTGGCAAGCCTGAGGTCATGAGTTCGATTCCCCGTACCAAAAAAAAAAAAAAACAAAGATGGGATAAGTTTATTCAAAGTGAGGGTGGGGGGATTTTAAGTGGAGGTGATGGCAACGTCTTTTACTGTAATACGTTTTTAAAAATTTCAACACTGTATTTTAAAAATTACACTTCATATTCACCTGACCAGCAAAAAGCGCTGAAATCCCGAAGGCATGTGAGCCAATGGCAAACCAGCCAGGCAGGGGAGGAGTCAGGGATGGCAGGGGCGGGCCAAGAGCGTGCTTCCCAAACCAGACACAATGATTGGCCCCGGGTGGCCCACCAAGGCCTGAGCAGGACCAATCAGAATCCTGAAAGACATGTAGGCATGTCAGGCTGTTTCCCTGGAAATGATCTGCTGGGAGATTACCACGGGTCCCATTCATCTGCAATTGCAGCAGGTCCTGTTCCCTGTCCCTGTCCTACCCAGCACCACCCACTCCATGTGCTTCCTGGCTGGCAAGGCCTGCTCCTCAGGATGGGGACCAGAAATGACAGATGCCTGTTTTCCCAGACGGCTGCGCAGCTCAGGGTCTCCACAGAGCCTGGTTCTGACAGATGAGAAATGAGAACCCTGCTGGAGAGAAGAGATGAACACATCCGGGAGGCCTTGTCCGCTGTCTGCTTTAATTGCACCTGTGAGACAGGGCACAGCCTGTGCTTGGAGATGCCAGCTTACCACCAGATGTCGTCAAGCTCAGTGCCTCCACCAACCCCACAAGAAGCCCCCATCATTTAAACTCTTCCAGTTGGAATTCTGTATTTCAATGTTTTTCCTTGTTTTTCCAGCAGAAACCCACAGTGCCAGGTGGCCACCTAACGGATAAGGCAGGTGGGAAAGAGGACAGCGGAAGGATGAGGCCAGAACACCTAGATCGAGCCTTGCCTGAAGCCCCCCCCTCCAGCCATCCCACTCTCCATATATTGGGGTCTCTCAATTCTATCTGTAGTTCTGGGCTACAGTTTATGTCTTATCAACAACAGTGGTTCTGGAAAAATATAATTTTTAAAACCCAAGGCCCAGAGAGAAGGACTAAATTGCCCAACCATGGAAGGAGGCCGGGGTCTGTCTGATGTAGGTTGTCATGCAGCTTCCCATCCCAGAGAGGACAGGAGCCCTGGGTGGTGAGACCCACAGAGTGTGTTTATTCTGGCGTTGATAGCAGCAGCATTGGGGGGGTGGCCGGACGAGGGGGGCGGTGAACACGGTGGGGACACAGCTGTGTGTGTCTGGAGGACACTGAGGACTGGTTTAGTGACATTCACGGTGAGAACGAGTCGGGACACCGGGCTTGGACAACAGTAAAGAGACAGAGCGACCGGGGCGCGGGGTCCCCCAGACATGCACGGCCCCTCGCCTTGAGGGGGAGCCCCGGGGAAGACAAGACAGACAGTGGAGGCTAAAGGCCCCCCACCCTGAACCAGGGCGCCGGGCTGCCCGCTGCCCACGCACACGCGTCCGGGAAGGACGGGCGGGCCCGGGGCAGGCCTGCACCAGCAGCTCGGACGCTATGGCTTCCAGATGAGTTCACGGTCCGGGCAGGAAGGGGTGGGGTCCTGGGGGCTCTGGTCAGACCCCCGGCCTAGGCCAGACCTGCAGCGGATCCGGAGGGGAGAGGTCAGTGACAGTGTCCGGTAAGGTCGGGCCACCTGTCACTCTAGCAGCGCCAGGGACAGACCCGAAACCCTGGGCCTGCGCCCCTCCCCCGCACCCGCACTCCGGGGTCCTCCTCCCTCTCGGCTTCTCACCCCTTACTCTGAGTTCTCCTTCTCTGACAGTCCTTTGCCACCTTTCGTGAAGCTGGTCAGAGTCTTCTCCTGAATGAGGAGATGGGGGAGCATCAAGAGTGGGGGACAGAGGCAAAACAACCGCTTATGCTCACCAGGAAACTACGTCAGTCCTGGTTCATTGTTTTTTTTTTTTTTTT